CGGCGGGCTGCGGGCTGCGCGCCGCGCGGGCTCATTCATTCTCCGCCCGGCGCCCCTCGGCCGCCGCTGCCCGGCTCCGGGTCGCACGTCGGGCACCGACCGAGTCATTGTTCTCGGGAGCCGGTGGCCCGCGCCGACGCGGCTGGCGCCGTTTCGTGTCTTGCTTGGCCCTCGGCTTACTGTGCGGTCCGCGTAGTGTCGCCTCCTCTCTTGCAGTTTCCCGGGTAGCAAGGGCCGCGCCTTTGTGTCTTGCAGAAGTGATTGCAAGTAGTTGAGTCGGAGTTTGAAATGTGTTTTACTGGATGATCGGCGGTAACGGTGGCGGGAAGGCGGCAAAGCTGGGCAGTGAGGCGGGACGGCGGCTCGGCTCTCGCCGGCTGCCTGAGTGAGGCCCTGGTCCTGCTCTAAGGGGGCGGGTAGGGCCAGGTGCGGCGAGGGGCAGCCATTGCGTGCGGGAGCAGGCGGGGAGGGAGGGACGGCCGAGGCCGGAGCGGGAAAGGTGGACAAGGGCGGGCTTCGGCTTCTGTTCAGAAAGTTGGGGGCCTGGAAGGCGGAAGGGAGCAAAGGCCACAATGGAAGGGGGGCGGCAGCAGCAGCAGGTTCCTGTACCTGTTTTGGTAAGGGGTAAACAAAGGACATCAGGAAGGGAATTCGGTGAGATGAATGAGAAGCCGATGGAGAGGGGTTTTGGAAGCATGCCGGAAAATTGCTCCCCACTCGCCCCCAGTGTGTGTGGGTCCTTTGGATTAGAGTTGTTGTAGCGAAAGGATTATTTCCTAGCAGTGCAGGTTCGAGGCACCCTGTTGTGTTTGTTTTAATAAAAGTACCTTACAGCATCTGCTCCTTGCTCCAGGCGTGGAGTTGCAGAGTTAGGCTAACTTCTCAGGGTACCAGCATTTTTGTACCATCCTGAAGAATTTAGTTTACTTGGGTGTGTTTATCTAGGAATTACTTAGTTTTCTTTCTTTCTTTGAGGATATGAGGAATATGCACGGCCATGTGTTTTTAAAGTAGTATCTATTCCCTTTTTGTTATTTAGTGGGAAAAAAAAAATTCATGGCCAGTAAAAGTTACCCACATAAAACTCATTGTAGCCAAATGGAAATTTACTTCGCTGTATCAGAAACCAAAAATATGTGTTATCATTGTGTATGCAACTTGAAATTTTGAGCATACTGATTGGGAAAAGGATACAATATCTGAGCCTCAATTTTTTATTCATTCTATGTCTTTAACATCCCTGTGAAAGCATAGTATTAAAAGCCTTTTTGTAGTGAAGAAGCACAGGTCCTTTGAGGAAAGCTGTGCCTTTCTCCCAAGAAAAATGTGCATACCTCCATTAAAATGCTCTTTTAGTAATTCAAATTGCTTGCCATTATGCAGCTTTATGTGTCTTAGCTTAGTAGAGTTCAGGGGCCCCAGCACAAACTCGCCTGTTTAAATGTTTGAGGCCACAAGAGTATTGTTGAAATGTTACCTTCCGGACAGCAGGAAGCACTTGGAATGGTTAAAGTTGTTTTATACTCAAGTGCTTGCCCAAATCCTCCCCACATCAGTCCTTTTTCCCTTGCTTACCTTTACTGGCTCCTCCTCCTTTTTTTCCTGTACTGTAGCCAACAATTTTGTCAACTTTTAAAATTTTTGTTGAGTGTCATTTATATACCTTTTTATTTAAAAAGTACATTTGAAAGTATAAATACTAAAGGTTTTTTTTTCCCCCATAGGAGCTTACCATCCATAACAGAGTGGTAAATAGGCAAGAGTAGAAATATGATTCCCTGTTTAAGCGAGATCATTACTTGAAGGGAATCTTTGGTTCCAGTTCACCGCTTGCAGTATGGTACTTTTGATAATTGAATCCGAAAAACAGACCTGCTGTTCTGTCAGAAGATCTTACCTGTAGCAGAGTTGTACTAGTAACTGGGTTTTTTAAGTCATGTACATGTTGAAGAATAAAGATACTTAATACCTGCTAAGTGCTCTCCAAGAGCAAAGCTTATTATCCCGGCCAGTGTGTTTAAACCAGGATAAGAAGTACTAAAGTCTGCTGCTACTCCAGGAGGCTGTAGAACTCTCCCAAACTGTCCTGTCATCAATTGGCCTTAACTAAGGAAAATCAAACTGTAGTTAGACCAATTCTTCTCAAACAATAGGAGCCTGCAACCCCAACTATTGTTAATGTCCTAGACGTGAGTTCTCAGCTTTCTGGCGCTAGCCTGGTGGCTTTACGGCCATTCTGCTTCCTTTATATTGCTGAGCAAATGGAGACACTGGAGGAAAGATCAAGAAGCCATCGTTCTGTCCTAGGCAGGGAGCTAAATGAACAACAGCAGCTCCCCTCTCCCCAAGTAATAAAGACGGATTTTTTGACACTTTTGGGACATTCTCATTTATAAATTGTTGGCCTGGTCAGTTTATTCACCAAAAACATTTACTGAGTGAGTTCTGTGCACCAGGCACTTTTAAGGGTGAGGGATCAAAGAGTGAACCAAAAGTCTCACTGTTACAGATCCTGAGGCCGGTCCAGGCACAAGAAGAACACAAAATTAAGGCCTGTCACAGAAGAACACAAAATTAATGTATAGCTTTTAGAAAGGCAGGCGGACAGATGGGACAAGAAATGAGCGCCGACTGTTTTGTTTGGGTCAGTTGTTGAAAATTTCACTAGGATCAGAGCTGTGTCTGAAGGGATGGAGAGGCCCTGAGCACTCCTTGTGTAGACCTTGGTGAGTGCAGAAGACTTGAGGCCAGAGCCTGCTGAGAAGGAAAGCGCCCTCCCTCCTTCCCAGATTTAAACACCAACCTACTTGTGTGGGCTTTTCTTCCAACTAGAAGCCATTAGCAGGTCTTGAGCAAAACCTATTTTATATAGGTTGACCATGAGTGATTATTAATAGTGTTTCCTTTGTTCTCTTTCACAGTTTACTTCGGACAAAGAAGTATGTGGTTACCCTAATTTTAGAATAGTACTGAACTTCGGTGGGAAATAGATATTAGGTAGGCCACAGTAGCCTGGGAGGCCAGGCACTATGTGGTAGGTAGGAGATGAGAATTTTGGAGCAAAATTAGTACAGAAGGCATTGGAGATAGTTGGATCCTAGATATACCCTGGCACCAGCTCTGACAATTTGCCAAAGGAAAGAAAAGTAGGAAACAAAAATTACTGCCTCAGTAGTTCAGATTGGAACTTGTGGAAAAATAAGAATGCTAAATGCATTGTGATAATTTAATCTTGATCAGTGTCAGTGTTAGATTTGGGAATACCATGAAGAATTATGCTGAGGAATCATGGTGGAGGCAAAAATTGGTTTTCGTTCATGTCAATTCAGATAGATGGAGAATATGAGAAATAATTGTGAAGCTTTGCTGTAGAGTAGAAAGCAGACATAAGCACAAATCTGGAAATTGGAAGTGGTGAGAGGCATTGCATAGGGGTGAAACTGATCATTCGGTGTCATGTGTAAGTACCCAGTCATCTGAGAACTATGTTTTTTTTTTTTTAATTTTTATTTATTTGAGAGAGAGAGAGTGTGTGGTGTGTGTGTGTGGCCAGCTCAGCCCACCAGGGGGCGGGGCTGGCTGGCATGTGGTGCTGGGGGATCAAACCGGGGTCCCTGATGCTTTGCTAAGCTTGTTCCAAGTAGGTGCTTTAGACCACTGAGCCATCTCTCCAGCCCCGAGAACTATGTTTTAATTGATTATGTACCAACAGAGTGATAGATCATGTGAAGATGAAAACTGAGGGAGGAAGAGGAGTGGAGAGGTAAATTATCCCCCTTCCCCAACGAACAGTGCAGTACAAGGCTTGCTGAAATAGTATATATATAGAAGATAGCAGGGACATGGAAGAAGGCCATATACACTTCTCTTGGGTGTCAGGATGACTTCATGGGTTAAGATAAGCTCCGGAGATAAGGAGTTTGCCAGATGGACAGTTAGGAGGAACGGTGGTTGCTAGAATGTGAACATTAAAGGTCAAGTGTGAAGGCTGCATTTTGCTGCAGATGTTCAGAAATCATTAAGGGCCCTGAAACTGCCTACACAGATAGCCCTGTGTGAGAAAATGAAAGGCCATGAAAGGTAGGGATGACCCTGAAAAAGTAGAGGTGATCTGACTGCCCTCTTTCTCTGCTCCCCTTACAGCAGGGGTTCTCAGCAGGGCTGAAAGTTCTAGCAGTGCTGCTGTCCTGTGCACTGCAGAATGTTTGGCACCGTCACTGTACCTCACTAGATTCCAGCAGCACCTCCGCAGTTATGACAACCAGAGTGTCTCACGCCTCCCCAACCCTCTGTCCCCTGGGATTGAAATTGCTACTGCTGCCTTCCATCACATTGAACGCCTGGTTTGAGCCATCAATGTGGCACAGATCTTCATCCTTTTTGTGATACTGGGGATCGAACTTGGGACCTTTGGCCTGACCCTTATGCCACGGAGCTATCTTCCCAGCCCGACGTGGCACAGATCTTAGCTGTGCCAGTTATCGCTAACTTTCCAGAGTGTCTTTTTTTTTTTTTTTTTTTGGCAGAACTAGGGATTGAACTCGGGCCCTTGTGCTTGCCAGGCAAGCACTTATTCTACTGAGCTGTCTCCCCGGCCCCTCCAGAGTGTATTTGATGCCTATTTACTCTTGCCCTGTGATTGGTCATCCAGGGGCTCAGCTGTCATGTTGCTGCTCATAGATGTCCTGCTCCTTATTCTGCACTCTGTAGTTTCAGACTTGGTTGGACAGGTACGCAAAGCCTTCCAGCACCTGGCCCTATTCCATGTCTCCAAATTAATTTCTTTACTTTTTGTATTCTCTTCTCCAAATGGATTAGAATCACTAGTTTGCGGTTCACCAGATGCCCCTGCCCATGCACTTTCATATCTATGATGCTCTGCCTACATTGTGAAATTTCTGAACTGATTTTGTAGTTCACATACCACACTCTCAAAAAGACGTGCTTCTGCTTCTTAGCCGTCATTTCATAAGTTAACATTTGGTCATGTTTTATATTCTAATTCTTTGTGAAGAGGTGTGCTTTTCCTCTTTGTGTTCCTTATCTTTAAACAGTTTGACTTAGAGGAATTAGGCAGGATTTGAATGACTATAAATTAATAAAATTGTCATGTGCTGTGAAATTTGGTTGCCATTTTGATAGGGAATAAAGATATTCAAATTCCTGAGACTGGTACCAATAACATGCAACATGGGACCTTGTTGATATGTGTGTTTGTGTTTTCTTTCCAGCCTGCCTACCAAAACCTAAGACAGCGCGTTGACAACTTTGTTGCAAACCACTTGGCAACTCATACTTGGAGTCCTCATCTCAACAAGAATCAACTAAGAAACAATATTAGACAGCAAGTCCTTAAGTAAGTCTCAGAATTCTTGTCCTGGAACAGGCTTTAAAATGTCACATCCTACTTTATCTGAAAGTAGAAACATTTCAGTCTGTTCACCTACAGATGTTGACAGTTTTTGTAGAGTTGGCATGGCTACTATGTGTGATGTATAATGTTGGAGTATAATCTATTCCCGTTTCTTTATTGTTTTGAGAGTCTCACTGTGTAGTTCAGGCTGGCCTTGAACTCACAGTGATCAACCTCCCTAGTGCTGGATTGCAGATGTGTCACTCTGCCTCACTGATCACTTCACACTTCTCTCATAAGCTTTAATAGCATAAAGTTTTGCTGTCTACTTACAGGATTACTTGAAGGAAGAAAATAAGTCTTTAAAAAATCTTAATGCCATAATATCCTTTACATCTTTATTTACAACTTTTCCTGACCCTTAGAGCTGGCTTCATTATTCTTGTTTTATTTACAAATAAAACCATTAAACATCACTGAAGTTAAAACACTTTCCTTTTATATGAAACCAAGTCTTCTAATACAGACCCCCCAAAAAAAAACCTTTTTTTTTTTTCCTTACGTTTTTAATGACTTTGGCTCTGCTATTTAGTGATAATATGGGGGGAATGAGTCAGTTTGAGTAAACATAAAATAAGAGCTGGAATGCTACAAAGACCGTGTGTGTGTAACTTACTCATAAAAGAGAAAGAAAAACCTGGTTTACAGTATTGTCCTTGGTTTTGAATATGACAAGAAGACCCTGGACCCTTGCCCTTTCATTCCTTCGTAGTTGCTAAAGAGCTACTGATCCTCCTGCAGTACTTTCAGGAACATTTTTGAAAATAATGTGGCTTTTAAATAGTTATGCAATCTATTTTATACCTGCCACCTCTTGTCCTGTGGAAATCCATCCAGTGTGAGAGTTCAAGCCACAGGAAGCCCTAGAAGTAAAAATTCACACCTTAACTAACAGACCCATTTCCATTTAGCCCCAGGTAATACTAGAAAGCAGGAAGCTGCAGGCTTAAACTGTGTCTCCTTGTGAATAAGAGGAGCAAAATGAACAATAGCTTTGTTGTCCACATTTTAATGGATGTTTGAGGAACCTGTAAAAGAGTCCAGGTGAGATCAAAAGATGCCCTTAGAGGCTGCATAATAATGCATGTTGGGGAAAAAGTCCAGATGAAGAAGAGATGCGAGAAGTCTCTTGGGTGACCCACAGAGAGGGTTGCTCGCCTCCAGCAGGCCTTCTGGAGACCAATAACCAGGAGAGTTCTGGAATGAGCACTAGGGCAGGCTTATTGACAGCAGCGGCTGCTCCTGGCTGCTCGTTCTCCACCAGTGATTCCATGATTTCTGTAAAAGCATATTGTATAGAATACTGTGTTCATTTTCTTCATATCTTGAAAAATCTGAAATGGAACACAAACTTAATGGTATTTCATGTACTTTTCAGCATAGATCTGTAAGATAAGAAAATGGTCATTTATTTTCTTTAAGGGAACCCAGTTCAAATCTTGTGAAAATCAACCACTGCACTTGTACAGTACCAGCATGAGACGTGTGAGCACAGAAGCGTGTTTAGAGAGGACCAAGAAGTTCTGTGACTGGTAGTGATGCATACTAGAACTGTCCCCTCTTAGGGGGGAGGCACACCTTCACTTAGAGTTACAGTGGAAGAGGAACAGCAAGCAGTCTTCTGCGTAATTTAGGCATTGCTGTTTCCTAGGACCGCCTACATTTCCTTCAACTATGTCTTTTTTTCTTTTTAATTTTAGGGAAGGGTCTAACGGGATGTTCAGGGTCTCACTACTAGGTCAGACTTGTGATCCTCCTGTTTACAGCCTCCCAAGTGCTGGGATTATAGGAGTGCGCCACCACACCCAGTCTCAATTGCCCAGTCTGAATCACAGACTCAGAGCAAGCCCAGGGATAGATCCCCCAATCCACTGAGTTATTTGGCTGGCCCTATAACTGTAATTTTTAAATAAGCCATTTTCATTTAAATTCCTAAGTTTTATACTGCATATAACGTTTTAAAATGTCCTTAAAGGGATTGTTGTGTGTAAATATAATTTCAAAAAGTTTTTCATTCATAATACTTTGAGAAAGTTAACTAAAGTTGAGCCATCTGCAGCTTTTTTTTTTTTTTTTTTTTTTTTGTAGTACAAAATGGTTTAACCCCAGCAATTTCTTTTTTTTTTTTTTAAATTTTATTTATTTATTTGTGTGTGTGTGGCCAGCTCAGCCCACCAGGGGGCGGGGCTGGCTGGCATGTGGTGCTGGGGGATTGAACCCCGGTCCCTGTGCTTTGCTAAGCTTGTTCTAAGTAGGTGCTTTAGACCACTGAGCCATCTCGCTAGCCCTGAGCAATTTCTGATATTTGTATTTATTTTTGTACTGGGGAACTCGGGTCTTGTGCTTGCCATGTAGGCACTTGTGCCACAGAGCTTTCTCCCCAGCCTGATTATATTTAATCATCAAATTTAATTTAATCATTAGGGAAAAACAAGTATTAAGCCACTCATTTTGTGCTGCAGAATCTAAACCTCCTAGATGGCTTTGGATATTGATTTTAGTTGAACAAAATTAACAGAGACAAGGAAGAAATTTAAATAAGAAAATGTAGGTTTCCATCTTTCAGCCTTGCCCTGGAGGCTATCATGGAAGCTTCTCCATTCGGCAGAGCACACTGGCCTCTTCCCAGGGCGGCGAGCCCACCAGGGGCAGTGTGCTCTGTGGCTCTGGCCTTTAGTTTGAGATCAGAGCCGACGTGCATTAATGAGAGGACTGAAGAAGATGCATTCTGTTAGTTTCTAGCACAAGAACACAGGCAGAGAAAGGCTGAACAGTTTAGGAATGCATAAGTTTTATTTTCTATACAGTTTTTACTCATATTTTATGCTTTGGGACTTGTGTGTTAGGAACAGTCAAGATTGCTTCTATTTCTTTTTCTGTTTTAAAACAATCTTAGTCCTAAGATGTGTGTTGGGTTTTCTTTAGTCTTTAGAACTTTAAAAAGCAGGTAACCTACTTTGTGCCTTGTCGGCTCATTTTTCTCTTTGCCCCACATAAGTAGAATTATAGTATCACAAGGCAGCAAGTTGCCTCAGGAAATTAAACTGGAATCCAGCATCCACCCCAGACAGAGCTGCTCTCAAAAATAGCTTGTGTAAAGTATGACGAGAGACCTCGCACCTGAGCTGTGGAGACCACAGGCCTGGAGGCTGGCAGTGACCAGCGCCTTGCCTCGCAGCCACTCGTCCTCCAGGGAGTTCACTCAGTCACTCTGTGCAGTGCACAGTTCAGATCTCACCCTCAGCACTTCCCCGTTGTGTATCTTTCTTTACTCTGAAGACCTTTTCTTCTCTGTATAGAAATGAAAACTGGCTAAAATATCTGAAAAGTTTCTTTGTCTGGCATTACTCACAAGTTATCTTGGGCATGTTCTTATCTCTTTTCTCACAGTAACATATCTGTCAACTTTTTTTTTTGGTTTGGTTTTCTGATAGACTCTTGACCATGTAGTTCAGTCCAGCCTTGAACTTGTTACATATTTCACGCTGGCCTCAGACTTGGATCCTCTTGCCTAGTTTCCCAAGTGCCCCAATTACAAGCACATCCCACCACACCAGCTCAACTTGTATTTTACTGGTTTGTATCTGCCTCCCCAGCTGGAGGAGAGAATGCTGATTCCTAGCTGCAGGGTGGCCTAGCAACCGTTAGGTACAAGACACTTATACCACAGTTGCCTCATAAATAGATCATCCAGTTTTTATATTATGAAGATACTAAAAACCAAGTCAGAATCTTTAAGTTTTGTTTTCTTAAACTTTTTGTTTTAATTTAATAAAATTATACTTGGTCTTAGAAATTCCACTACTTACAAAAGTTATACGATTTTTTTTTTCCAGAATCTGTTATTTTATGTTTAAAACTTTAGCAGTTGTCTGGTCCTACATACCATAGACAAAAGGGGGACAGGAGGGAGACAACTCACTCCCCCCCAACCCCCCTACCCCCGTCTCTCGGACAGGAGCTTTCTTTCTCCCAATAAATATATTCTGTTCATTAAAAAAAAAAAAGGAGGGTAGGAGGTAACAGTAACACCACGACCTGGAAAGTTGATCAGCAAGTGCTAAAAGGGTTTGTTGTAATTTTTCCACCAGCAACACAGCGATTTTTTATTTTTTGGGGGGGGCAGTATAGTAAAGTACCTCCAAAGCAGACAGCCCTCCCTTAAGCACCTTTTTTTCTGCTTGCTTGCTTGCTTGCTTTTTCTTTCTTTCTTTCATTCTTTGGTCTATTCAGATGAGTGAATTAGGGCATTTCAACACTGAACCATATATACTGAATAAGCGTGGTTTATTGAAAAGTAGTATAAATAAAATTATTTCTTTCCCTTTCTGTGAATTATCTTGAATTTCAGATCAGGAATGCTGGAATCTGGTATCGACCGAATTATTTCTCAGGTCGTGGATCCAAAGATCAACCACACATTCAGACCTCAGGTGGAGAAAGCAGTACATGAGTTTTTGGCCACACTCAATCACAAAGAGGAAGCAGGTGGCAGTGCAGTTCCTGCTGATGAGAAACCAGACTCTTCCACCATTACACAAGGTGCTTTGCATTTGCTCTTGGTCAGTTCCCTTGCTTTTCTTCTTGAACCGAGTGTCAAGTTAGGGTATTTGGTTCTCACAGTGTTTCTCTGTTTGGCTGCTCTAGTGAAATTGCTTTAAGTTTCTTAGCTGGCGTGGAGCTGGCGTAGCATTTTGTTTTCTGAAATTAATATAAAATAAAAAGTATTTAAATAATGAAAGATGGGTGTGAATGTTATAATGAAGGGAACAATTGAAATAGAGCCAATGTTTCTGGAAATTAGCCCATTCTCAGATTTTCTGCTGACCTTCCCAAGATATGGTGGTAAGGAAAATTCTGAATAGTACTCTAGTGGTATCTGAAAGCTCGAGGAAACTCATGGTTGGAAGTTGGCAGTCGCATGTAGTATTGATCAGAAGTGTCTACCTGCTGCATAAACTGACTAAAACTTGTCTTTCCTCCAAGGTGTCCCTACTCCTGGCCCCAGTGCTAACGTAGCCAATGATGCCATGTCAATCTTAGAAACCATAACTTCTCTAAACCAGGAAGCTAGTGCTGCCCGGGCCTCAACCGAAATGTCAAACTCCAAGGCCAGTGAGAGACCATCCAAAAAACTCTCCTCCCAGCCAAGCATGGACACTAGCACTGACAAAGAAAGAGCTTCAGAGGACGCAGTCGGCAAAGAAAAGACTGTGCCTGACTGTCTGGGGGAAGGATTGGACACAGCCCCGAAGTCTGAAGAACTCAGTGATCTTCAGGGCCCAGCTGAAGAAATAAAAAATCACATGAAAGAGAATAATAGCTTGATTCTGCCAAATAAGGATGTTCAGCAGGAAAGCAGTGACCAAAAGAATAAATCAGCAGACAAAGGTGAAAAGAAACCAGACAACAGTGATAAAGGAGAAAGGAAAAAAGAAAAGAAGGAAAAAACTGAAAAGAAACTAGATTACTCAAAAAGGAATGAAGATACACTAAAAGTAAAAGATGAAAAACAAGGAAAGGAAAAAGAAGTGGAAGGTGCAAAACTTTCTTCAGAAAAAAACAGTAATAGAGGTAAAACTGTTGAAGGGACAAAGGAAGGTATGTTACAACGCTAAACTGTACAAGTTTTTTTTTAAAGGTTATTTATTTATTTTTATTTTTTTGGTGGAACCAGGGATTGAACTCAGGCCCTTGTGCTTGCCAGGGAAGCGCTTATTCCACTGAGCCATCTACCTGGCCCCTTAAACTGTACAAGTTTAAAGGAAAAGGTTTCTCCTTTGGGTCAGTTGGGCTTCAAACTTTAATAAATTTGTTAAATTTTTCCCCCCAAATTCTGAAGCCTTTGTTCCCTGTGCTAAAAGAGAGAAACATTTATATTTTCTGTCCTATCCTAATACATCTATTCACAGAAAATTAAGCAACTATAAAATTTATCATTTGTCTTGTAATTTCTTCACATACATTATTATCCCATGCAACTTCACTTTGTAGTTGTAGATCTGTCTTTTACTTTTGTGCTTATTATTTACATTATCAATACTGTATTGCTATAGAATACTAGTTTGCCTTTCTATTTGATAATTTGTTTGGCATGGACTTAGAAAAATTTAAATATAGTTTAGGAATTGTGCTTTGAGTATGTTCCTATAACAGGCTGATTTGTTTTCTACTTTATTTCCTTCTAGCAGATTGTTCTTTAGTAGACTCTGATGTGGATGGACTTACCGACATCACAGTTAGCTCTGTTCATACTAGTGATCTTTCATCTTTTGAAGAAGACACTGAGGAGGAGGTTGTCATGTCTGATAGCATGGAAGAAGGAGAGATTACATCAGATGGTAAGACCTTTTCCTTAGCAGTGCCTTCCCTGACTCTTCCACTGAGCATTGTTTGTGCACTCTGGGGCTCAGTGTGGCTTCATGTCAAGAGCATGGGAAGTTATAGTAGAATGATTGTTACTCAGTCCCATCTCCGAGTTTGCCTGTCTCAGCCTTGGTAAATTAGTAGGGCCTCAATTCTCTGTCTTGAAACTTGGTCCCCAAGATGCTTACTATAGGATTTGAGTGAGGTAATGTATATAAACATTTATTTATTTATTTATTTATTTATTTATTTATTGTGTGTGTGTGGCCAGCTCAGCCCACCAGGGGGCAGGGCTGGCTGGCATGTGGTGCTGGGGGATCGACCCGCAGTCCCTGTGCTTTGCCTAGCTTGGTCCAAGTAGGTGCTTTAGACCACTGAGCCATCTCGCCAGCCCCAGAGGTAATGTATATAAACATGCCTTTTGTTTATGTGTATGGAACGTTTGGGGGAAGCATAATACACAAGATAAACCCTCTGGCACCAGTTGCAAATTCAGGGGCCCCCAAGACCACCCTTTGGTTGAATAGTTCACTTGAAGTGTTTAGAGAACTCTGTAAAAGCTACTCTATCACGGATGTGGATTGTTGCATCTAAAGGACTGTGACTAAGATCAGCCAGAGGAAGAGGTACATAGGATGAATCCAAGAACGCTCCAAACAGAAAGCCTCTGGTGGTCCTCCGTACCCTATGGGGTTGTAGTTTTGCATCCGAGTCTGATCATACACCCAAGTGTTGTCAGCCAGGGAAGTTCACCAGAGCCTTGGTGTCCAAAGTTCTTATTGGGGCTCCCCAGATACTAGTAATTGACCGCCTGTGTAGCCAGTAACAGCCTCTGCCCTCTAGAGGTCAGGCTAGAAGCCCCCTCTGTCATATCTTAGGCAGGCTATTTGATTTGCTAGATACAACATTCCCAGGACTTCACAGTGACCCTCGAAACCTAGGCCAGAGGCCACGCCCCTCAGAGCAAGGTGGAATTCATCACACAGTGTGTTTTCCAGCTAACAGTGTTCCAGGGACTGGCTTTGGCCTTCTGTGTAATGATTCTTTAGTCTTCCCCACAGTCCATGGAAAGTATGTCCCGTCCAAAGTCATACATAAGTACCAGAGCAGATTTCAGACTGGCTTATCTGCTTCTAAACAGTGCTGTATGTACTCTTTACCCTGTGACTAAATTCTCCTTTCTGTTTTCCCTGTATTTCTAGGGAAGGGTCTACAGGGTGTTCAGGGCCTCACTACCAGATCAGACTCGTGATTCTCCTCTTTAGGGCCTCACTACTAGATCAGACTCGTGATTCTCCTATTTACAGCCTCCCAAGTGCTGGGATTATAGGCATGCGCCACCACACCCAGTCCCAATCAATCCCTGTCTCAGCACGCCCTGGGGGCAGGGCCAGCATGGCAGGCAGGCCCAGGGATCGAACCCCCAGCCCCTGCTCCTGCTTGCAGGTGCTATTTGGTCAGCCCTCTCCTAACTTTCTTTAGCAATCAGAATAACTGTGTTGTATTTGCAGTTGCTTTTACATACCATCTTGCAGTTCTTACTGTCTTTGGACAGGATATTTTGAGAGAAAATTAAGAGACAAAGTAGAATCTTCTAACACCACAGATGTTTTTCTCAGACTCCAGCATCTTTCATTGCTGTCTTTACATCCATGAGAAACTGAATTACCTGTCTAAAAAAAACAGCAGCCTCCTTCATTGTCTTGCCTGTCCTCACAAGTCATTTGCTAGCGCTCGGGTGGGAAGCACACTCCTTGCCCTGTGAACACTGCTCTCTCTCCCTGAGCTACAGCTCTGATACTCGGTGCTCTGGGCTGCTTTTGGAGGGTTTCTTTGGTTTTTTGTTTTTGTTTTTTTTTTTGAATCAGGGATTGAACTCAGGCCCTAGCACTTGCCAAGGAAGAGCTTATTCTACTGAGCCATCTCCCCAGCCCCTCTGGGCTACTTTCAAATAGGTTCCTTTGACAGGGCTAGCTTTATGCATAATTGAGGCTAAGAAGAAGCAAAGAGATGGCTGTTTTAACTCAGAAAGTAGAGGAAATGAAAACCTTCTTTGAGTTATTTGTTATAAAATAATCTTATTAAAAAAAAAGCTTTTGTCTTGCCCTTTGTCACTTTCTATATCAAATGAAACTACTTATCTTCCTAAGGTAGAGGATTTTTTTTCCATAATTTTATTGAGAAATAGCAATGAGACAGTTTCAAATCAAATTCGTAGGACAGTTCCAATAATTAACACATTGCATACTGCCTTCATAGTGGTTGGTTGTACAAGATGCAGAAATGTCTGTCTGTTGTACAAGATGCAGAAATAGATGTAAATATCCTATTTACAAACTATTAGAACAAATCCCTCTATTCCTTGAATTAAGAGAATGTAGCTATATATCTATTATAACCATTAGTAAAGGATTTTAATGTGTGCTTGGTATAGGAACTTACTGAGTCCTACCTCTCTTGTGAACTCACAGGTAGTCACTAAAATCTCACTTACAGGGCCAGGGATGTAGCTCAGCAGCATGGTGCCTGCCTATCAAGCAAGAGGTCCTGAGTTCAATTTCTGGTTAAAAAAACTATAAAATCTCAGTTTTAAGTAAGTTTGTAAAGCATTAGTATCAAGTCGACTGAGAGATAAGAACTGTTCATCAAAAGAGCATTGCTTTGCCGGGGAGATGGCTCAGTAGGATAAGCACTTGACTGGCAAACGCGAGGATCTGAGTTCAATCCCTGGTTCCACAAAAAAAAAAAAAATTAAAAAAAAAACAAACATTGCTTTAAGCAGTCAGAAGTAAAGGAAAACATGGTGAGGCAGTCCCTACTCCTTGGGTTCCCAGGGTTCCTCCATAAGCAGATTGAAAATGCTGTAAACAACAAAACTTGTGCTTAGATTAGGCCATCAGAAACCACTAGTTACCCCCTAAATAGAGAATTCTTGTCTATGCATACAAGGCAAAGGTCTTGTTGTGTCCTACATGATGCCTGACTTTTGCTTCCACATTCAGCCCATAAAACTTGGTGTTCGCACTGCTAGACACAGAATTCTCTGAACCCCCTTGGTTCTCTGTTTGTATACACAGCTCATGAATCATCTTGTGCCCAAATAAACTCTAAACTCTAATCTGTCTGAAGTTTTTCTTTTAATAACTAATGTGTAATGTCACAGAAGCACTGTTCTTTCTGTTGACTTTCAGATGAAGAGAAGAGCAAACAGAATAAAACAAAAACTCAAACTAGTGATTCTAGTGAAGGAAAAGCAAAAAGCATACGACATGCTTATGTTCACAAACCATATCTTTACTCGAAGTACTACAGTGATTCTGATGACGAGCTCACGGTAGAACAGCGGCGACAGTCCATCGTAAGTCCAGCTGAGCTGTTAACTGTGGTAGCTTCCTACAGCAGGTGAAAACCTGAATACAGTGTAGAGTGCTGGTTTGTGTAAGAAGCAGAGACATGACCTCCTCTTCAGGAACTTGTCATTTCACTAGATGAAGTAGACATACACATGGGCAGAGGTGTTTGTCTCATGTTATTGATAGAAGTGAAAAACTACCCAGGCTCTCGTGTTTCATAGAATGGAAATGTTTGTATCAATATGCATCGAGACTAGAATGTAATATATAGCTATTATCATAAAGTTGATAGAGAAATACAGTCCACATATGGAATGCATATGGAAGGGTTGGAAGACTTAAGATAGATTAATAGAAAGGTTTGATAATTCTTTCAATTGCAAGATAGGTGTGCCTTTGAGTTTATAGTAGGTCTTTATAAAGAAAATTTATCTGTAATTATATATGTATATCAATTTTAAGTTGGCTTACAGTTGAAATAAAATTTTCTGCACCAATATGGGAATAGGGACTACTCATCCTTACAGCATTGTCTCTTGAGAGGATTGTGTGTCTGCAGTGATGTGTCTTAGGGTTTTGGCTCTTAGACTTTCGCCTGTGGACCAGAAATAGGTAGTGGAGTGGAATACTGAATGTGAGTTTTTCAGGGTTTAAAATATGACAGCACAAAGGTCCCACATCCAAAGCCTGGATCCCTAGTGTAATCACCAATTGAAAGTTGCAGTCACTTGAATTTACCTCCTGGCTTTTCCTACCTTTACACACTTGATGCTCAGTGACACCGTTTTTCCATTCATTGGTTCGTTCGTTTGTTTTTTGAGAAAGGGTCTTGATATGTACTTTAGGCTAGCATTGAATTCACTAGGTATTCCAGGCTGTCCTTAAACTCATGGTGCTCTTTCTGCTTCAGTCTTTCAAGTACTGGGATTTCATAGATGTGCCACCGCATCCGGCTTCAATGAAACTTTTGTCACTGTCTTCGTAAATTGAAACAGCCAGTTTGTTAAACCAATTTTTTTTTTTTTTTTTTTGGTTTGTTTGAACTACATTTAGCAAATTATCCCTTTCCATACAGGCCGTATGAGAAAGGAAAAAGTTTCGCATCTTTTTTTTATTCTTCTGGTAGCTCCCAAATTGAAACACACACTTAACATATAAACAAACATACACTTACAC